TTAGGTTATGGAAGTTGATGCTAAAAATGTCAAGCCGCGTAAGGGACTCCAATGGGAACAGCCTAGGCAAAAGTTGGCCTTAGCAACAAGGCTTTGGCTGGCCAGCCAGTCACTGGGATCATTGGCACCCCTTGGACTTCTTTGCTGCTCAATTGGTTCAGCTAGTCGCTAATGACACTAAGCTGGAAATTGCAGTTACTTATCGTTTTTTACCCACTGCTAATTGTCCTACTGTTTGTTTTTTTTTTTTTTTTCTTTTCGTTAAATAACATTTTATCACCGCAAATTTTATTCTAAAAAATAAAATGCTTTGTACTGTCAGTTGATTGAATGAAAAAAATTGCTACTGTTTGTCAGACGCTGGAATAAAAAAGTTGCAGTTGTTGTCGGTTTGGTATAAGCGAAAAAAAAAAAAATCCAAGTTTTTTTTCTATTTGTTGGAAGCAGTTTATAACATTTATGCGTACTGTGCATAGATAGTCTGAATCCTCAGCAGTATCCAGTTGACCTTGGAAAATGTCTCGTCGTTCGGCGTCCTCATCCGCATCACCGGTAAACTTTTTTGCCTCACAATAAACAGCAATATATTTTTTTGTTCTTTCATTTGCTCTATTCCATTTCTTATGTTCAATAGTTTATTCTTTAAAACAGCGTTGTTTAGATGTAATATAGATGGGTTGTAAACGAAACACAGTGAGCTAATCTCTAATGTAGATCTTGTTGCAAAACTATTCCTACACAATACGTACAGATATTTGTATATCTTTTGCCTATGTTATTCGTTGTCGCGGTTAACGGCAAGACAAATACTGTACCTGAAAAAGACGCTGTTTTAGTGAATGTAAATTGGTAGTAATAATTTTTACTGAAATGTTTTAGCGACTTTTTGGGCAATTTTTGGGCAATGACAATGGATCTTTATAGCTAAAGGATTTACGATTTGTTGCTATTATTTGACAGTTCTAATTTGTTTAGTAGACTAGTTAAAAAGTTGTTTGTCTTCAAAGGTTTCATTATTTAATCGATTTTAATAGCAGTTTCCACAAGATTGTTATTTTTGAGTAAGCTTTACTTTTTCTAATTTAAAAAATACTTTAGCGTAAGAAATCAGTCGGAAAGGTTATGAGTCAAACGATTGAAAGAACTTGTATACTTTTTTAACAGTTGAATAAGGCATTTCAAAATGTTCCATAATTTTTCTTAGTATGCTTGGTTTTTGTTTTATATTTTAGAATTGAAAAAGTCAACTAATACTATCTCTCTATAATATTACTGGTATCTAAAATAGTTTAATACATTTTTTTCGAAAAATTTAACAGCTACCTAAAGTTTACTTGATTTTATTTATCATTTTTAGATGTAATTTGAGATTTTTTTTTTTTTTTGCTTATTGTTTTGTCTAGTTTCATTCTTGTGATTACGCATATACAGTGTTAATTAGCAGCCGTAGTTTAAAAGGATGTTGATTTATTTCATCAAAAACTTGTTCTAGTTTATTCTGCTTTTAGAGTGACAACAAAAAAAATTTCCAAGTTGAGTCCGTTGCTAATTTTCTAAGTTTTTTTTTTTGGCTTAAAATAGCTTTAGAAAATAAAAAAAATTGAATGCATAGTGTAATGGTTCAGTTTCATTGGAATAACAATTATAGCGGAATGAAAAATTAGGATGGAAAATGAAAAAATCTAAAACGCTTATTGAATACACTCACAAAATCCATGACATTGAGGGAGGATTATGGCAGCATCTCTATAACAGATGAAAAAAAGATATAAACATATATCCATCTCCAAAATTGAATCTCCTGGCTTTGCTTGCTTACGTCAGAACAACGCAGACTCCATTGTATCCTTCTTATATTCAGTAAAAATTTTCCTTCTACGAATTTACAGTTTGTATGATTCTAGACATTGCTGTCACGTATTTATACTGTCGCCTTTATTATGTCCACTGTTTTCTGTTGTTTCGTAATCCTATTAAAGATGAAAAAAAGTAGGCAATACCGATAGGCGAAGTAGAAAGGAGACTTTATGGCTTTTGCAGTAGCCTTTGATATTGATGTGTTTAAACTACTACCGACAATACCGTACCTGTATAATTCATGTTGATTTATTTATTTATTTTTTTCTTTGATTTACGTGTTTATGTTGAATACAGCATATATTTCAAGCAAATACAGCTTCACTATAATCCTTACTCTGTTTTCAAGGTTCGAGGGAGATCTTCACCCAGTCGACGTGGAATGCCCCGTAAACAGACTAAAGAATTTTTTCAATGTCCAAATTTCATTTGGTTTATGATAATACCCGGTGCCTTACTGTTGAATTTCGTAAGTAATTTTTGTTTTTTTCTTCATTATTTCCAACATTTAATAAGTTTTAAAAAATTGTACTTTTGTGCAGACTTAAAGTAGCATCTTTTGATGTGATTATACAATTTGTCTAAATATTTCTATATTATTCCATTTGCATAATTAACCAATTTTCAATAAAAATTTACTATTTTTTTTTCTGATTTCAGATCACATGGTATAACGTTGACTTACTGCCACTAAAATATATGAGTTATTTTGGGACTTTGGCTGTATATGCCGGCAAGGAGGTGCCGATAATAGCAGTTTTGCTGAACCTATTTGCACTCGCTGTACATCTCGGAGAGGCTGTCTATGCAGCATGGCTTTGCACTCGTTTAAACCTCAATAGAGCTTGCAAATTTAAATGGCTTATACAAACTTTTATTCTTGGATATCCATCACTAAGGATATTATGCCAAAAAGCTAATAGTAATCGAGCTAAACGTCGGTCATAATCGGACAAAAACGGCAGCTTACTTAATGGTCTTTTTTCTTCCAGGCTTTGATTTTATTTTCTTAACTGCCATCAGTAAAAAACTATCTTTGCCTGGTTTACTACGTGTCATTTTTCTGCTATACTGTTCGTCACAAAAACTGTATCACTAGGTCCGGCTAAATTATCATTTAAATATGTCCTCCGGTTGTGATGATGTCTTTATTAGCTGTGATCTGTGTGTCTAAGTTTTCTCAGTGATCATTTGTAAATAAGTTTGGTGGTTTTCAGCAGAAAAATTTTTGCAGCTGAACATCGGAACTTGTAGACTTCTTTATTTTTTTGAATATATCACTGTTTGATTTATTGACATATCAATTCTGTACTCATATATTTAATAAACTGAGTGTTGTGATGACTTTCATTGAAACAAAATCTTTATTGTCTCTTTCTACAACTTTTTATGGAGAGGCTGTTTCAAATGAAAAAGCTTCATTGATATCTTTCTCATAAATTTTGTAAGAAGAAGTAAAAGATTAATGGACATTGGATGGTCATTTTTAAAAAGTTGTAATTATACCAGCAAATAACTTTTTGTTTACTTCAGATAGTGAGAGTTAATAAAGCATTGATAAGAAGGTAATCATTTTTCAAAACTTATAGAAAAGTCGTACAATAAATTTTTTTCTTTTGTTTGTTTGAGATAAATCACGTCGAAACAAAAGGGAGAATATGGTGAATCTAACTGTCGGAAGGGGATTTATATATTCAAATAGTTTGAAGATTTTGAGATAAAGCCTCTGACAGTCATCCTTGCAGATCAAATTTTTTTTTGACTTTCAAGCCGATTAGTTGAATAATTTAATTTTGTCGGTTTATATCTTAAATTGCTGGCAATAAGTTCAGATGTTATAAAATTTTTTTGCTTGAACTTCAACAACGGAGCCCCTTTTTTCGCCGTTCTCGACAAATTTGCCACTGTTTTTCAGTCAGCTCTTGAGTGGCTGCTGTGGTATTGAATACAGTTACTTTAACAGTATTTTGATCTGAGCATTCACGGCTCATATTCAATACTCCATTTAGCCATGTATAACAACTGTTTGTTTCGCCAATCTAAAAGTTTTCTGTTCAGTTTTTCAAAGTATTTTTAGATATACAAGCTTTTTCTAAAAGAATGAAACTACTAAATTACCTTATCACCGCAGTCTAACAACAGATCCATACAGTTCGGCTTTCGCTCTTCAATTGGTATCGTTAAGCTGTTTAGTATTAAACTTTCACTTCGCTTTTTTCTTTCGTGTTCTTCTAAAAAATTAACTTCAACCAGATATG